ACGCTGAAGCACACAGCACAAGCCCAGAGAGTATGCGAGTCAAGCACAGCAGCAGTAGATGTCGTAGACCGATGCACAAGGTCGCCAGAGGTCGAGAACAGACTTGTGGCTTGGACCAGGTGGACAATGTGGCGTAGAGACGAGACATGAAGAAAAGGAGAACAAATGGGCGAGCAGCATAGTGAGAACGATAACACATGAAGGAGGATAAGGTAACAGGCAAACGCAAGCACATGAGACAGCAGCCACAACGGAAGAACATGAAAGAGCAGACAACAAATGATCAGAGACTTAGCGATGATTCAGACGACTTGAGGTGTTGTATCTAGTTGAGCAGGGTATCTGGAGGGCGGAGACACTGGCACAGAGGAGTGGGTGAGGGAGGAAGATTAAGAAGGGCGCAGAAATGCGGGTCGTTTTATACTCTCGGACCAAGGTCTGTTCGACCCACGAGGCGGCAAGTTGCGGGCCTTGGCCCTCCGCTTATACGTCTATCCACTGATGGCGGTGATGCGAAGTGTCATCGATGTCTGTGAACGGAACAAGGACATGAGGATCGCGGAGCCTGAATTCGCAGAACAATGGGTCCAACTGGGTCCGAGTGGCGACGAGAGGCCGAGTTAGGACAGCGACAATGTGCGCCTGTACACTTTTACAGCGTTGTGAGCGCGTGTGATGGCACGTTTTGTCGTTGGAATTGATTTCGGTGCCTCTCGAAAGCCCATGAGGCGCCAGGCCGCGTGGTCTGCATTTTCCACACCTGAGACTGTGCTCTCCATGGTTGATTTCCTAACTAGACTAGTTAGAATGGGCGAGCGCAGCTCATTACCGTTGCCATCGTCGCAAATAGATACGCTGCTCATCACGGAGGTCGCATCGAACTTTGGGGAGGTTGCGGTGTGGCCGACGTCCGCAGACGCGAACGCGGTCACCCTTGTCAGCTTCTCTTTCAATCCGCTGCTGCAGGGTACTATTCAAAGTAGAAGAGACAATCAGCACTGGTATACCGGGTCATGTTGTACCTGTGCGGATTCCGATACACCCCGAGTCAGGTCTTTCTCGTGGATGGCCGGCTATGCACACGATATGTCTATATCGGGAGTCGCTTGAGTCTTCGAGGATACGTAGAAATTGAAACACAATGTTTTCTAAGGAAGGGCAAACAATTGGCGGGGGAAGTGCACAGCGCAGAGAATGAGATCTCAGAGCTCGATCATCAACATACGATCAAGATCGAGAGGTTGCACAGCCAAAGACAGAGTACGTGGACAACGCGAGAGGTCTAGATGACCAAAGACAGCTTGAAGACCAAGCCCTATGTGGATTACTGCATACGAGGCTGCGGCCTTTTTCGACAGCAAAACTTGGAATGTATGTTCTGAAGTTGTGCTCAAGCCTTGTAGAGGACCCGCCGCCCTATGTACACAAGCCAGGCAATCCAAATCTCAATCGTCTCCCCTTCTCTCTAACGGCCCATAACAATTAAAACATTGTTGCACTCCAATGAGCACTTCAAAATATGCAGAGCTGTTACAAGGAATCTGGTACAAATCTAGGGAGGGATGTTCGTCTCGAAGGAAACTTGTGAGGAGACTTTGTGAGCGAGCCATGTTAAAGATACCATCTCAAGGCTTGGTGAAAAGCACGGATCTCAACCCGAGGCCAGATCCTCTGTCGGCAAGGCTGCGTCGCTATATCGTACACTACCCAATGTATGCTTGCCAATAGTCGGTCCCCGGGATCCAAGCATCAAAGCAAGTCAGAACAATAATTATGATTCATGGCAAACAAAGGTGTTGAACTCAACACGAAGGCGGTCACCCGGGAAATCAACCTAGACACTGTACTGAGTTTGTACAAGTGCGGATCAGCTGCCGCGCCACCGCGACTGCTCTCAAGACTCAACCCAGATCTCCCCAACGACGTCCCACTCCTTCAGAACACGAACATCCTCAGCATGATGCCTCGACTGCGCGCTCTCCTCCTGGCCCTCATTGACGGTCACGTCCTCGATCAGAACCACCCGCAGCCCACCGAATGTCACAAACCCCCGCTTCAGCGGCAAGTAGGACAGCTCGAAATCCTGCGAAGCCACGACCTTCACTGTCAGATTCCCGCCGGCCTCCCCGGATTCACTGTCCGCCTCGCTGTCGGTGGTGTCCGTGCTCACGTTCCTCTCGTGCGCGGGCGTGCGCCCGGTAGTCTCCCCCGGCTCAAATGGCGGCGCAAGCCGCAGCTGGGGTAGGAACACGGCTGATCCACCCAGAGACACTACATCCTTGCACACGGCGAGCTTGCCGCCTGCACCGGAGCCCGCCTGCACAAACGGCGGGGGCAACGAGACGACCTCAGCACCGAAACGCGTCCCAAATGGCGCCGGCGTCGCACCACCGTCCGTTTGTGCGTCGTCGTCTATGGCCATGCGCCGGGGGGACGTGACGAGGAGCCGGCGCGCGAGGAAGTCCTGGAAGTCCGCGCGCTGGGGCGTGCCGTACGGAGACGGACTCGACAGCCCTGATGCCGGGAGACGTGGGCTGTACGGGTCCTCTTTGGATGGTGCGGGTGCCGCCGCGGCACCCTCCGCCTGGACTGGTCGTGGTGGCCGAAGGTGCTGCACGACCAGCGAAAGGAGCCGCACGGCGCGGGACTCCGAAAGCCGCGCGAGAGGGACAGGGGCGGAGACATTCAAGGTAAAAGCGACAGTGAAAGGCTGCTCGACGTGCAGCGCGTCACGCGGGATAGTGCGAACGACGAGGTCCACTCCTACATCTTCCTTGCGAATCATGGCTGGGTTGGGCGATGCTGGCACAGGTATGGGGGATTGCGGCCCTTGAGTCGTGGTGCGGCTGCGGAAGGGCGATCCAGGTCGGAATGGAGTCGCACCAGCGGCAGCGGCAGGAGGACTCATGGGCCGCTGGTTGAGTTGTGGCGACCGCGGCCGGGACGGCGGACCGCTCGTGAGCGACGCAGTGCGTTGGAGATGTAGAGGGATCGCAGACGCATGCTGCTTGGCCGGCAGTGCGGGGGGCTGGTTGGGTGTTTGCGGTGGGGCTTGGATGAGCGGTATGCGCCGGGACAGCATCTAACTAAGATTTCAGAGAACTCAACAAGGAATTCAGTACAGGACAATTTACCGACGTCAACAGGCGGCCGGGTTCCCCAAACGAAGATCTCCAAGAAATGTCCAGTCTACCCAACGGGACAATACTGCCAGGTGCATGTGCCACCGGGAAGGTGGCCAGAACGACGGGCGAGAGAACATACACGTATTGACGCATATCTTGTGGCTGCATGAGCGCCATAGATCCGGAGAATATGCCCTCCTTCCCCGTCTCTGAGCCATCATCAGCGAGGTTAACGTCGTGCACCTTCCAGCTGTCCGCGCACTCGAGGTGCATACGCTCCAGCCACATTGCGTCCTCGGTCAGGTTTTGTATGTGAATCTCTAGAAAGACCTTCTCGCGCTCAGGTCGTGAGAGAAGCGCAGACGGGGCGCGGGGTACATGGACCTTCGTCTTAACTGACAGCGGGTTTGTTACCTACATACAAAGCCGCTTAAGCTTTGCCGAAGCATGTAACATCAGGCACCACTTACAGCGAACTTGTAGAACTTGCGAAATACGTGAAGGCCTGGGTCATTAGGATCGGTGACAGGAGGAATTGTAGCATGGTCACCAGGGGGGAGTCGATAAGAAACTGTACAGGCTAATGCATGCTGACCGAGTTCCTTGATTTCGTGACTGACGATGCGCTCCAGCGACTCCCCAAGCGCCAACCGCTGCTCCGGCCCACCGAACTGAGCAAGAACCGCCTTTGTCGTCGCGGTTTGCATCTCGACCGTCAATACGACAGACTCCACGTCCATTTTGGCCTCGGTGTTAACTGAAATGCAGCTAGTGAAGGTCTCTCCAAGCTGGATTGCGCCAAACGAGGACGGGAGCATGAGCACTTCTGTAACATGGCTGAGATCGCGGAGCGTCTTTGGGTGCCCTGGAAGGGCAGTTTTCCCTTGCAGTGAGACAATTGATCCGGTCGAGTGCGCGGAGAATGATGGCGAGCTGGAGTAGAATGGTTCCCATGCACTGGTCGTAGAGGGTCGCTGTCGCATGGCAACTCAACTGTGCTGAGCAGGACTGGCAATCGACTGCTGACGCACTGAGACCCGCATAACTTTCAGCGAGAGTAGGTGCCCTGTCGCCGCCATATTGCAAAGGAGTACTTGGAGACTAGAGTTGTGTCAATGAGATATTCGAGCTAGACTAGTGCTGAGTCCGGGGATGGGGAGCCTATGCAAGTTCAGGACAGCCGCTACACAAGATTGGCTGATCCTGAAACCGTGGGGGACAGAAAGAGCAATTCCTCGCGGACGAGCAAGGGCAGACGGCGTCACGAGAGGTGCAGGACTCAGAATTCGACGGCTGCAGCTCAGAGATCAGGATAGACGAGATTGCAAGTTGTTGTCACTCCACAGTATGCTGGTTTTCTGAGCACTACCTCAGCCTATGGAGATAGAGGTTCAAAACATAAGTGTTGAGATGTGAGTAGAGGTCTAAGACGCGCATGAAGGAAGCGGACGCTAGCAGCGCGGTCGCTCAAGCGCTCATATACAATCTCGGATCAAACGGCACAGCTGCACACAACTGCCTGCACAAAAAAACTGCTAATGTCATACTAGTTATTGCGTGTATTTCTTACTTCATAGACTTATTTATTTTTTTAAGAAATTTATAAATCCAGTTTTGTATCCGCTTGAGGGCTTTGCCCTATGCCGGATAATACATGCGCGTGTAGTGCGGAGCGGAGCGAGTAAAGATCATGGGCTGTCAGGTAGCATGGAGAAACTTCATAGACTTTGTCGTTGATACATTATACACACACACACACACTATCGTACAGAAATATTGGCACAAGTGTTATCCTCAGTCCCAGCATCATTCCAGGACGTGTGTGCCTTGCCGATGTGCGGCGAAGCTTCTTAGGCCGTTCCTTCACTGGGAAGGGCCCATTCGGAGTACGGAAGCTGCCCGAGCCGTCCCCTCAGGACTCCAGGATAGTGCACAACGTTCCCGAGGCGGGGGAACGACGAATCCGGATCGATGATATCCTGAGAGTAGGGCAATACCTTCAAAGAGGGAAGATCATGGTCAATGTCTGCCGGAGATCCGTCCTCCTGGATATTCATGAGCATATTTGAGTCTGGTTCCTCATCCAGGGTAGAGAATACTCACCTTGCGGCCCCGCATGACGAACGTGATTCTCTCCAAGAGTGGTCGAACGTGCTCCAAATCCAGGGAATGAAGCGAGGGCTCCTTCTCGTAGAAAAGCTCCGTGAGGTGCACGAAACTGTCGAGCTCCAGATTGATGTTGTTCTGGCAGTTCGCGCAAGGCGTGTTGCGACGACTAGCGAACGAAGCGACAGACGCCACACGCTGTCCATCAAAGAGCACGTCAATGCCGAAGCTGGATCCGAACTCGTACTTCTTGAACCGAATGTGAAGGTTCCATGTACGGGGAGTGCGGCCGGATGGCATTGGCTTCGGTTTCGGGACGAAGAGATGATGTCCATACAGTGCATCGACTTTCTCCATGATGGCCTCCTTGACCTGTTGGGGGGAGCTCTTCTCCAGGCCGTTGAACTCGGGGTACGTGTAAAGAAGATCATCGGTGCTCTTCACTTCGGTCGACTTCCAGTACGTAGACTGAGTGTTCCAGAAGGGAGTGAGGTCTATCGACACGATGAGTATGTAGGCATAGTTCACGAAGCCGAGCTGAAATGCTCACCGGAGTCGACATTGACAGTGGCGCCATCTGCGATGGTGAATGTTCCATTAGGCTGCGGCCCCGGGATGACCCACAAGTCCGGATGCAAGGCCTGCCATAGAGACAACAGACGGTCGACATTCGTGTGGTGCAAGAAGAAACTGGCATCGAACGCTAGTGCATATGCGGCCCGTTAAAGGTTCCGTGCTAGCCAGAATAACGCCCGACTCACCGGCCACTGGAATGATAGCCATATGCCCCTCAGTCTCGGAACCGCCAATACCTTCGTGCACTTGGTCGTGAATTGTTTCCAAGCTGTTGACGCCTACTGGCTCGTCGGTGGCAGAATGGTTACTAAACGTCTCCCATCTGGGATTGCGCGTAAGGCACATGTACACCTCGTTGCGTAGATGTTTGACGTCATCGACGAACCAGCTGGACATAATTATCGAATAAGTCAATGTTGAGAATATGACACGCATGTGGAGACGACGCACTCGTTGAACCCAGCCATGTTACTCTTGGCATCAGGGTTCTCGTTGGTGGGATAACGGAGTGTAGTCTTCCAGTTATGCCAAGGGTCTCCGAAAGAATTGGTTACTGAGACATCCAAGAACTTGTACGTATAGAGCGGGTTGTCGACTTCCTTGACACCCTCGGGCGTCGTGATAGAGATGGACGGCGTCACAAGCACTGAAGGAACCTGGGGCTTGCCAGGGCCTGCATGAGCCCAATCCCAGTAAGGCGAGCGCAGAGCATCGGCAGCCTTGCTCCACTCGTCCCTCTCCGTGGGATACTGCTTCGCGATCTCGTTCGCCTTGGCAAAAAGTGCTTGCTGCATTGCACGTTAGCACTCTGGATTACACCCAATTGGGAGAGACTCACTTCGAACAATAGAGTGTATACACGGTGCCATGTGGGGAAGAGCACCGAACCGTGCGTGCAGTAGCCACCAAACTGGGTGTCGCTGGTCTCTGGACCGGAGGAGCCCCATTCCACGTACGGCTGGCCATGGATACCCGCGATGCTGGGGTACGAGAAGTCGTTCACGTTGAAATGTTCCTTCATCAGTTCTCCTGAAGCACGGTCAGACAGACGGTATCTGGCATATTGAATGAAACACTCACGAAGGGAGAGAATATACAGGGAGAATTGACGATGGTCTGACTGAAGATCGCGGAGCTCCCTGCGGTTGTGCACCGCCGGGTGCAGACTTTGGACGGGCTGAACAATGGGATGGTTGGACATGGAGGTGATAATTCGATGGATAAGTACTTGAGGTTGAGTTGGTTCAACGGCTGGGTCAGAAAGGGCCAGCACCTACATGCTTATATATGTTCGCGACATAGGGTTCAGCGCCGGCGGAAGTCAAATAGCCCGACCTGCGCACAAGTGGATACGTTGAGGCTATTCAGCGCGCCAACAAGTCCGATTGAACGGAGCATACCCCGCCCGACGGGCGCGTGTCCGATGTGTTGACAGTGGCCACAGAGTATTAAGGCAAGTAATGCATTCAACGGCGAACAGTTCATTACGTGCCAAGCTTAATATCCTGTCATTCACATAGAGTCGTTAGTCGCAGGAAGGCTTCTTAATTGTATTGAATACCTTTCTCAGGTGGTCCTGTAGCTGTACTACGTCGGATGATCGCATGGAGCAATGTCAGTATACAAGCAGACGCTCTGGCACTCGTTTGACAGTATTTCCAAATTGTTCATGCTAGTATTTGCAATACAAGGTGTACATCGATAGTTTTTCAACGTGCGCTTCGCACACGGGCCAAGGCTTTCACGGCGTAGGGAGGTCGAAAGCCAAGTGAGCGCGAGTCAAGTGATCATCTTCCATTTTACAGTTTTCACCGGCCACACGCTATTTGGAAATTCGCTAATATGTCTCAACAACGCCTACAGCTGTTCGAGAGACGCCATCAGCGAGCGGCATATTTGCTGAAGGTCATTTGATGACCTACTAGTCCAATCCCGTGGCCGTGGTGGCAGTGGAGACGAGCGTTAGAACCGCCACACTGCGACAGTTCGGTGGCGCGCGCAGTGCGCCTACTTCAAGAGTGCTGCCGTTCACCGACTTCGACGACGCCCGTGCTCCAAATTGTTAAGGTTCCAGATGCGCTCGCAATGATTGATGGAATGGAAGACTCAACAATATGCGGCGCGATTGAAATGCAAGTCGTCATATGTTAGAACTTGATCTATCCTGAGCGTCTTTCCACAGCTCCGCCATCATGCACGGGCCGAACAACACCATGAAGTGGTAAGTAAGCCAAGAGATCACGGTGTTGGTCCTTTTCTTACGACCGACCCAACCGCTCATACCATCAATATATTATATCAGCATTCCCGTCTTTTATGAAAGCTGTGAAATGATACAACATGAATATCCGCATGTGTTTTGCCGTACCGCAGCCGTGTGGATATTTGTGGGGTATCAATATCCATGGGCTGTTTAACTTGTTTTGTGTGGCATGATAAGTGAGGACTGGCCAGAGCCAGGCCGCATCAGTAAGCTTTAGTGACTTGAGAACACAGTGTGTGTATTATGATTTATCAAGAGGATCCTGAGGATGACAGAAAAATAGTAGGAAAATACTTGAGATATTGTTAAGACTTGCCGGGGGAGCATACACAGGTCAGACTTCGCTCTCAGAAGACTAATACGGAGGTTACGTAAGCTGACGGCGTAAATGAACGCGTCGCGTCGCGTCTGTGGCTTTTCCTTCCTTCACAAGTCCTTCCTCAAAATTAAGACATTTCACGATACAATGGGTTTGACATATCGGTTTTCCAGCCTTCGCGATCCTACTGCTACCCTACATGATCTCTACAATGATCCAAATGGGACAAGTCATGATAATTTTCCCCGGCTGGTCGCGGAACACTACACCCAGATCTTCCACACGAGTGAAGCGTTTCGGGAGGTCAGCTGTGCCGCCTTACGCGTATCGGATATACTCTGAGACATGCTGGACAGATCCCATCCCTTGACATTCGCAGTCCCCCGACTACGTTCCCAGATAGGTCGCTCGTACGCTTCCGGGCAATGGTGCAGGACACATCGCCCTCTTCCGAGATGTACCTCGCCAGGTCGCCATATGGAAAGTGCGGCGGATGGGGTATTGAGCTCACGGAGGAGGAGAACGGTGAAGTGGACTACACGAACCTGAGGGAGTGTAATGTCCTATGGGCAGTCAGCGTGCCCGCCGAGTCGGCGTGGTGTGCTGAAGAACTGGATGGCTCGCAAACCCGTACGTCCAATCGAATGTGTAACGCAATGCAGAACTCTTACCAGACCACGGATAAGGGTCAGCCTCGGGGTCAACGTCTGCCTATCTACCTCAGCACTCGCACAAATTTCCTCACCCCACATTACCTCACATAGGTGTTCAAGTCAAAGTTCGATCTTCCTCATTTATCAGCCCATATACCTACATGACTCAACTTCCAATAGATATATGATACGGACAGTGCGGAAAAGCTGAAGTCTACGGATATAGTCACATTCGTCGGCATCTTGACCACGGAGTCGTCAATATCCCTCAGCTACTCCCCAGCAGACCTTCTCACAGCAAGAACTTCGGTATCCAGCACAGGTACAGGTCTTGAGTCGAGGGACGAAGTTCCTACACTGCACGTACTCTACATTCGAGAGCATACGGCGACACTACTGTCCAGACCATATCCAAGCACTGCAACCCCAGACGCTGACGAGCACAGTGCTCCCGCGAAGGTTCGATCGGAGCTCATCTCTTGGATGGCGGAAGAGGCGCTAGGCGGCGACCGCGAAGCGGCTGAGTGGATGCTGCTCGCGTCTATAGCACGCGTGTAAGTTTGGCATGGCATCTTATGCCATCTCGACGTTGATCATGAGGCATCTTCAGACAATCGCGTAGCCCGCCCCTCCTTCCTCCATCATTGAACCTCACGCACTTCCCCTCACCCTCGCCAACGCCGTCCACAACCGATGCGCCACCCACGTTCCTCCCGACACTGTCGACTGTGCTTGCACAGATCCTGCCCCTGACGCACACACTCCCGCTCTCTCTTGATGTGCTTAACAAGGATGCGTTTGTGCCCGAGAGTAAAGAGGAAGACCTGCACGCAGGTGTGCTGCAGCTGCCTCAGGGCACGGTGCTGCTCGTAACGGAGGGCGGGGTGCACGAGGGCAAGCTCGTTGAGCAAGGTTTAAAACGTTTTCTCATCTGAAACAAATTTCGGATGCTGAAGCCTCGCTTGTGTAGGGATCCTGAATGTGCACGCGCTGCAGGAAGTCATGAACACGCAGACACTCGCCTACAAATTCCCATTCTCGCAGTTCTCGTTCCCTACAGACATCAGCTGCATTGTGGTCAGCGAAGGGAGCAAGAGTGCATTATTCAGAGTGCGCAGCGCCCACCACTCCTCGTCGCTCCCTGTTAACTAATCGTGTCCTCTTAGACGAACATCTCTGTGCCTCTTACTGCACCCAAAGACCCTGAGGCGATCGCCAGACTTTACAAGCCTGTGGAGGATATCAAGTTGCCTTCAGCCGAACGACTAGCAGCGTTCCGGGACCTACTGGTGGGCGCGCGCGCAGGCAAGGTGCACGTCAGCGAAGAAACCTCAGAGGTTCGCTCTGTTCACTCTGCCTGTGCGACGGCTTGCTGAGCACCTTACACAGTATATCCAACGCGATTTTGTGCGTCAGCGACAGCAAGACAGGTCGGTTACATCGGACGATCTCATACGGCGGATGTCGATCGCAAAGTCAGTCGACGTAGCTCTATTCGTATTTGCTGCCGCTAATACAGCCCGTCTCGTACATAGGCTATACGCCCTGTCACTTCATGAGACAGAGCTGACAGTCGATGTATGGGAAAGAGCAAAGGCATTCGACGAGCGCAGGCGAGCTGCCTGCGCAAGCACCACGACCTCTAGCGCGACAGTATGACAAGTCTATAACTTAGTCTTGGATTGAGTCACGGATAGTAATCCCATGTCGGCCCGCAATAAGTGGCACATCAGCAACTCAGTATTGTTGCATGCTACAACTTTCTCAACCAATGACGATGACAACTGAGATATACATATGAGAACTCATCAGTGCGAAGGGTATGTGGGATGCGTCCGAGTTCCGTCCAAGTAGTATAGTAGACATGTGAAGAAGAGACGCAGTTAAATGGGGAACATCGTATCAGCGGCGAAGCGTTTGGCCAAGCTGCAATCTCCGTTAGTCTCCTGTTCTGCAATAATCAAGCGAGTACTGACATTTCGTCTTTGTTGACCCAGCCAGCTTGTGGGGCCTATGCGTGACTGCTGCTGCTTGCTACCGAGGTGATCCCGTGCAGCCTGCATACCATGGGTGTGTATGACACTAAGCATGAGAGTCTGTTCGCGCGAGTAGCGTTTCGCCATATCGGCGATGGCGCGCTGGAAATGAGAAGCGGACGTCATTAGGAACGTATGGGTCGATTACTCTCGATGCATACCTTCAATCTCGTATTTTCTTCTTCTTGAATCTTGATTTGCGAGCGATAGCTCCCTTCGGCTTCTTCGAAGGCGCCCTGAAGCACGAGGAGTGAGCCGAAATGGGCCAAACTCAATACGCTTAGGCCTTACCGGAGACGCGGAGCCACTCTTCTTCGCATGCTCCTCCTTGAAGAGCTTGTCTTGTTGCTTGATGAACTATACGAGACATTCAGCACAATGAGCTGATCCAGACGGATTTCATGACGTACAGCCTTTGCCTTCGTGAGCTTGTCTTGTGCAGTCTTATACTGTTCTTTTATGACGATATTCTCCTCATGCAAACTGAGCAGGCGCGCTTTGATATCTTCTGGAACGTCCTTGCCAGATATCGATGCGCGCAGATCCCTAAACATTGTCTTCAGATTCCTGTGCATTTGGAATCGAAAAAGGACATACCCAATAGCACGCTCGCGCTGCAACATCTTTTCTCGCTGATCGATGCCTTCGCTCTGTAGATTAACCTTCTCGAAAAGAAGGGCATTGATCTGTTCGAGCTGCATCTTGTTCTTGTCCGATAGCTCCTTGATTTGACCCTGCAACTGTTGGACCTCCTCCTCCAAGCCTGCTTTGTCCTCGTTCACGGATTCCCGCAGCGTCGCTAGTATATCGACCTGGTCCTTGTTGACCAGAGTCACTAACATTCAATCAGGACGTCAGTAAGGTGAACGATAGCGGTGTGACAACACTCACAGTCGGACTTCGCGATCGTCAGCTCTTTGCTCATGCTCTCGAACTTGACCTCCAACTCTGCATGCTCTTTCCGGAGAGTATCAAGCTGATCCACAGTCTCGTTCAGCCGTTGGCGCAGCGCGATTGCCGCCTCGGCGCTGTGAGTCAGGTCAGACCTCCTCTGCAGCTACGAAGCCAATGTCGCACACACCCGTCTCCCATTGACTTCCCGCTCCGGATTTCCTCCAGGTTGTGCTGCAACACAAGCTTCTCCCGGTGCGCAGCGAGGTAATCCGCCTCGTACCGCGCCTTCATCCGATTCGCATCATCCAGCAGATTCTCCAGCACGAGCACCCGGCTCGCGTCTGCCTCATTCTTGCGTACCGCCTCCAGCTCGCGCTGCAGCTTACGCACCTGCAGCTTCAGGTCCGTCATCGTCGTCCCCGCCAGCGCAGAGTCCAGCTCCTCGCCAAGGCCCTGTACCTCCGCCTCCTCGTCCTCCTCGTCTTGGGCGGCCTCCTTTTGCACAAGTAGCTCCTCTTCGGTAAGCTCGTCCGTGCTGCCTTCTTCTGCAGACTCTGCAGCACGCGCCCGAGATCGCGCGGATGATGTTGCAGCCGGTGGGCGTGCGGTAGACACAAGTTCAAGTTCTCGCACACGCTCTTGGTACAGCTCGAGGGTCTCTGAATCCTTTGCGCGCTCGGTCTCAGAAGTCTTGAGTTTCGCGCGAGTCTGCTCCAGGTCGAAGCGTACAGCGTCAAGCTCAGTTGTCCGCGCCGATACCTTCGTTTCGAGCTCGGATATCTGTGTTCGGTAAGAGTCCATGAGCGGCTTGAACGCGGCGACCTTGCGGTATTCCTCTTCGAGGGAAGCATTTTGGTCCACAAGGTCCGCGTTCTGCTTCTCGAGAGCCTGCGATGCAGTGATGAGTCATACGAAACGGTAATGAGAGAAGAAGGATTACTTTGACGTGTTGTCGCAGGTCAGCGCCTTCTTGGAGCTTCTTCTTGTACTTCTCCATGACATTCTCCGTCTTCTGCAGTTTATCGGCAGCATGTCGGTATCTGATATCTCCCGCTTAGCACTGTCCCATCTCATAATTTAAGCACTTACTCGTCGACCTGGTCTTTTAGACGTGCAGCCTCGTCCGCCTTGACCTGAAGCTCATCGACCCTCCGAGTGAGATCCGTGACCAACGAAGTCTGCTTGTCCAATTCGGCCTCTGCCATCGCCAAGTTGTCCTCACTCTTCTGGCTGTCATGCTTTCATTACCCTGTCTCCATGCTCACGAGGGCGCGCTACTCACAGCTCGGTACGCAGGCGGTCGATCTCGGCACGCATGATCGCATCCCCTCTGCTGTCCACCCGCTTGTTCTCCGCATCCCGCTGCGCCTGCCGGAACTGCGCAAGCGCATCCTCCTTTTCGGACGCGACGTCGTCAAAATTTGTCTGCAATGTACGATGCTCTTCAAGCAGTGCCTGGTACACCTTTTCCAGTGTCTCCTTCTCGGCCAGGATGCGACTGCGCTCGCTCTGGATCTGATAGTAGTGGTCGTCTTCCGTCATGCTTACCTCGCCGATGCTGGGGTTTCCGGAGACCTTAACCTTTGCCATGACCTGCTCGATGACACGCATGAGCGAGTGTTGCTCTAACTCGCTCAGCTGTTGGATCTTCTCAATGATTTCCTTATTCTTCTCGCACTGGACCGCGATCGCGATGGTCAGGCGGCACATAATGAGAGTAGCGGGGACATTGTGGTCCTGGGCAATAGCCTGGAGATCTGGCACGTCAAGTGCACTCGTAGGCTGATGGAGCACGTCAGAGAAGTACTGTGTCATAAGGCGGTACAGGCGTTTGAGGGCACTGAAGCGCAGAACCCAGTTGTCCGACGGCTGCGCCGATGGACGAGTAGGTTGGCGGAAGTACTCCGCATCGCTAGGCATTACACAGATTCAGAAATGTGCGCTCGAGAGCAGTTCGACATGGTGACATACACAAGAGAGAGAACCTCGAAGAGGGCGGCGCCGTCAGACAGGTCCGCAATGGTAGTGACGGGCCTGGTGAGGTCGAATGTCGCGAAGAAGGAGAAGAAAGCATTAAGCTCCTTGCGCTGAGCGTCACCCATCTTGCCGCCGCCGACGACGAAGACGACGAGAATGGAGGATCCAAGTCTGGCGTGGTCGTCGCTGCACCAGCCACAAGCGTTGCGATTATGAGACCGGTCGCAGTATCGGTGACTGCCGAGGCACCGCGTTACCTAGCCTCGAGGTACGCAATATTGTCTTCAATAATAGGATAGATCAGACTAGATCGCGCCGAATCCCCTCTAGATGTCTATGCAGATGTGAATGAAGACAACAAGCTGCAACGAAGTACACAGGGATCTCTCCATATCGAGTAAAGATATAACCTTAAAAGGTAAACTGTTGTGGGCGCCAGTGCGTCTTCACGTCCACCACACCGCGGTGACTCTCACCGAAATGTGTACAACGTCAATTCCATACCCAACAACCAACAGATAATCCTCGCCAACATATAGCTGCCTCGTACACAAAGTAGTATGGCTGAAGCAGTAATACCCTTGCTCATAGATGGAAGCACGCTTGAAGGCGGTGGCCAGTTGCTCCGCAACTCGGTCGCTCTCTCCGCACTTCTTCACCGGCCTATTGCGATAGAGAATATACGCTCTGGCCGCAAGCAGTCCGGTTTGAGGCCACAACATGCAGCAGGTACGTCCGCGCTGCTGGGGAACCACACACAACGCTCATGATCTCCACCAGGACTACGCCTCGTCTCAGAGCTCTGCTCGGGGAATCTGATAGGCAGCGAGCTGGGCTCAACAAAAATGGAGTTCTACCCAGGACACATTCGCCTTTCCGAGCACTATGTCGCCGACCCTCAGACCGCCGGCTCGGTCACCCTGCTTCTGCAAGTGTCTCTCCCATGTCTGCTCTTTGCGCCGCCTGCGCGCACTTATGTACCCACTCACCTCACACTCCGTGGCGGTACCAACGCGCTGCAAGCCCCGCAGATCGACTACACGCTGAACGTCTTTCTACCCTTCCTCCGGCGGCACCTCGCGCTGTCTCCCGCGCTGCACATCGCGAAGCGCGGGTTTTACCCCAAGGGCGGCGGTGAGGTGCACGTCTCTGTCACCCCTCGCACCGATCCCCTTCCACCTGTGACACTGACGGAGCGCGGGCCCGTGACTGCAGTGAATGGCCGCGCCTACGTCGCTGGGCTCCCGGCACACCTTGCTGCGAGTATGCGCGATGGGGCTGCCGCAGTTCTTGTCGCCGCAGGTGTCAGTGCAAAAGTCATTCACATTGAGACTGTACGAGAGAAGCCTTCTGAGGCTGTTGGCAGCGGCTCTGGGATAGTCCTGTGGGTAGAGACACAGGGCGGGTGTATTCTTGGAGGAAGCGCAGTGGGCTCCAAAGGGAAGCATCCGGCTGCAGTCGGCCAAGAAGCTGCAGAAGAACTGGCGCGGAACCTGAGACACGGAGGGTGCGTGGATGAATACATGCAGGTAGGATTGCGTTCTTCCCTCGCTCAACCCCCATGGGTCATTTCTCAAACAACAATCGTGCATCAGGACCAAATGATTATATTCCTCGCCCTAGCTCAGGGGCGCTCCAGGGTCAGGACTGGTCCGATCACACTGCATACGAAGTGAGTATATGAAGTCGCTATGTCTGGTCAACTTGATTTTGATGGCGTAAACTTAGGACGGCAATATGGGTCGCGGAGCACCTAACAAACGCAAAGTTTGAGATTCGTGAAGAGACGGATCAGCATTTCGTTGTCCAATGCGACGGGGTCGGCTACATTGCGCAAAATGACCCGGAGGGTGAAGTTCTTTCTGGTAGCAATGAGACAGCCTGCGCAACTGGAAAAACTTGATCGCAGCCGCTATGAGTACTCTTACACCGCATTTGGGAGCAGCCTACCCGCCTTGATCGTCGCAGATTACATCAGCCTGGGCCCACCACGTAGCTATTCACCTGTCCCGCGACTATGAAAAGCGTGTGTGGGAAATACAGCATAGCAATAATCCATTAGAACGAGCGAGGCTACGTGGCGAAAAGCCCAAGTATGATGATACAGGTGAACGTCCACTAAATACGAGACAAAGTGTTCTATCGGTTCCAAGAAAGCAATGACATGTCGCCGAGTTTCCTGCAAACCATCTTCGCGTGAGACGCTATGTATCAATGATATAGCGAAAACTGACCTTGGGCGAACCATATGCCGGATGGTCCCGAGGATAGCAAGGGCAACGAGCAGTGCCGCAGCAGCTACGTATGCCCATCCCAGGAACGGGTTCTTCCCGCCAATCCAAGACACCGTCGAGATAACAATAGACTTTGTACCGCCATATGAGATGACAGGATAGTCTAACAATAGGCTCGTCAGCGTTCAACTCGTGAAAAAATCGATGGCAACGCACTTAGGTCCACTATGATCGTATACCTGTCCTTCTCCAGCGTCGTGTCGTCGTTGCGCCCGTACAGCTTGCTGAACGTCGGCAGGCCCGCTGTGCGCATCCAGTTCTGGAAGTGCTCATCGCTCTTCAGGTCCGGCAAGTTGCTCTCGTTGTACCCTCCAGAATACTTCTTCCAGTTCGGCGGCGGTACTATGTCCGTAACGTTGTAACCAGGGGTTGTTGCGTACTTCTTTGCCTCGCCGGGCCACGCGATACCCGTCTGCGAGAAGTTATACGTACGCGACGGGTTCGTCGTCGACGTGAGCGCCGAGTATGTGTCTGTTGTGATCGGGTAAGGATGTCGTTGTGCACCATATCTCGATCACGCACCGTTGTAAAGTGAGTTGGCGATCAACCCGCAAGGGTAGACCGCTTTACCGTTTATCGTAGCAAGAGGCTTGCAGTCACCACCATTGAGCGTGCTGGTGCTCACATACTGGCCTTTCAGTTGATTCGAGTCGTAGCTGTTCACGTAGCGCCGGTGGTTCTGGTAGAAGTTGGTGAGCTTGTAGTAGAGGAAGACGCTGGGGGTGAGGCTGTAGGGGATGTCGAACTGAATATAACATTGTGCATTGCCGGAGTTGTTAACGAAGGCGTATGACGGGGGGTTATAGGGGGCGTGTGCGTCAGATGCTTTAAGCTGGTACTTGTACGAGGTGAAGTTGTGGTATGTGAGGTCCGCTGACGATGATGATGGCGTTTGGTTCTCGCATTGGGTATAGTCGAATGTCATCTCAGTGACCTGGACAAGTACGGTATCAAGTGAACGCAGACTTCAGGACGCCGACAAAGACGCACCAGACCACTCCCCCATATTAGTAACCCGCCTATCGGTGCAAATAGGATACCGACGATGAAGAGAGTCGGCAACACTGTTTTAGGGGTCAATATGGGCTGCCAGGCCTTCAGCCGCTGCTGCTTAAAGGCCGTATCTGCGATGAAGCATGCATGAAGTCATACTCCGAGTAGACGAGTGTAGCGGTGACTTACTGGCTGGTCGCCGCCAACTACCCTTCTCCTTCTTGGGCTTTGCATTCCCTTCATCGCTGGCATCGGCCCCACCCCTGTTGCGCCTGAAGAGGGCCATGGTTATTGTTACAGTTTGAGAGTAGATGGGGAGTTATAAGCTTGGGAAGGGACGCAGCAGTCGCCGGTCGCAGCTCTGACGGGCGGTGTGAGCTTACGTAATGGCCACTCATCCCCGCCGGTCACGCAACCTGCCCGGCGCCGACAAGCCGTGGGCCCCGATGATTTCGTTGAACCTCTTTGAGCTCACAGTAGTAGGCTCTACAATTGCTGCCTTCGTGTCTGTAATTCCTATAATATACATATATCAAATCAAGACACATCTTGGCAGCGTTGGCGTCACCCTTTTGACGCAGGCCGGCTCGAATTCACACGTGGATCAGTAGTCGATAATCTAGGCATTCCTAGTGTTTCTCTACATATCCAGAAGGGAGATCTTCAGCTACATTCAACCGATCACAGTGTTCAATAGTTCCGCATACTGTGAGTTGAGTAAGAAATGTTTCGCGAAAGTCCCCTCTCGAGTGGCATTTCGCTCTGGTAATGTTCATACGTATGTATATATTGCCATGCAGCTAGGCCTTTCCCCACATGCTCAAACATGTACAGGGATTATATTCAAGGCATGTATATAGCTCGGAAGCACTGTATGTCTGCAGTACTGTGGCGGCCATATGTGATCGGGAGATCTCAGATCGAGAACTGCGCCACACAGTAGAAGTTAACATTATTATCTACGCCAGTGTCTCTTCGTCCGCTTGTCGACTCTCGCGATCTACCCTGTCGCTCTCTGCTTCCGCTGGCGATGGCAGACAGCGACAAATTCTGCACCCCATGGCGCGATGCCAATAGCTTCTTCAATGTGACCATTAGTCATGCCGCTGGAGGCAGACATACATACAAAGTGTCCTTTCTGAACAGAGTGGATATCTCACCATTACTATCCATGATGGCGAGAAGATGAGGGGCTACGCCGAATGTCCTGTTTTTGGCAGCCTATCTCTGGTTGGCCACCCGCCGTCATCTCTGCGCCACTACCGCCCACCTTTGACCCATTTCTTTGTCCTAGGATTGTTATTTCCCGACGGACTTTTTTGATTTCTTGACACGCAGACAGTGCGCCTAAAGGATCAGGGTCCTCCAAAGCCTCGCGACTTAAGAGCACCAAGATAGGGATCGAAAGCAATCAGCTTCACTGTGTCGACAGCCTCTTCTGACGCAGACAATTGCTGCTCCAGATAATCTAGAGAGATCAACACGCGCCGAATCATCCAAAACAACGCTGCTTCCAATTCGAAAGAAATACAGAGCACTGACGATCTACGCAAGCACCCTCATAAAAGGTCCCATCCAAGAACCATGTCCGACAGCAGTCCGTCCGAGCAAAGAACACAATGTCCATGAACCTAACTGAGCAGCCGTATCACCACACCGGCACGGGGTTTATGGCGACCGGTCGCGGCGGGGTAACGACGACGTTGACGTCAACAGGCAGCGAGAACGCACGCGCGTGCTTCTCCCACGGGCCGCACACTCGCGGGACATCATCTTCCTCCGACTCTGCGCCCTCTCCATCTATGGACGACCCTCGTGAGCGCGACCGCGCGTGCGAATACTCCCCGCGCGAGTGGGACCGTGCTTGTGAGTGCGCGTACTCTCCGCTCGAGCGCGCACTCTCCCAGCTCGCACGCGAGCGCCGGCCGTCGCTCGACCCGGACACAGATGATGTCGGGGAGCTGGCGGCGTCCATCAAGGAATGTACGACAGGCGCGAGTTCGACGCGTCCGCTTGCGGGCTCTAGCGTGAATGTGTGTGCGCGCTCGCGAGGTACGGGCCCTTCGGAGAGCCGCACGGGCGGGTGGAATGCTGGGCGCGGGACTGAGGGGAGTGTGTGCCGAGGCAGGCCGCGTCGTGGAAGGGGGCCTGTGACGAGACGCAACGGGGTAGGCGCAGAACGGCGGGGCATGATCGTGATAGTCGTGAACTTTGAATGAGCGAGTTGCCGGGGAAGTGAGTGTAGGACTGTGTGATCCAGTAAATAACAGACAGCAGCGAACTGTGGTCAGCACTCACAGCAGCCGCACGAATTGACGACTCGGAACCGGACAGCGATGACTTGACGGACACTGAAAGTTGGAATGGGTGCAGATAGGGATCGGACCGGCCGATAGAGTCTGGATGAACAGAAGTAAATAAAATAAACTACAGCAAACGAAAGCAGCGGGGGGACGAGGTGCTGATGAACCAGGTCAAGGTCCTGCCTCACCTCGACAGCTGTGATATAGCGAGCGCGTTACGTAAGCGATATCGCCGAGCAGTCCTGAAACACCGCGGCTACTTGCGCGATGGTACACCCAAAGTTCCCTGCAGGCCAGCAAGAGGGAGGGAGAGGAATGAAATGTGCCGACGACGTTAAGGACAGGGACGTCAGGTACTCGGAGCTGTCGAACTCAACACCCCATCGCTGCTTTTGGGCGCTAACGTCCCCGATGTTCACCATGACCACCGAGAATCACACCGACGACATACGCTTCTAGCGGGCTCAATCTTGATAGGAATAACAGCCGATGTACACTCACTGGTACGCACGTGTAACGCGACATGTATAAAATCGGCGGTGATACAATGGGTAATGAGGACATGCGTTGCCGTAGCGCGAGATATTCCAGAATGCGTGATGCCAGCAGTGATATTGTTATGCGGAATGCGGAGAGACAAGACAGTGGGTAATATGGAGACCAATATGGTACGCGTGAAAAACAGGAGACACGGGCTATGCAGATGTTGCATCGGCAATAGGGCGATAATGCTTCATAAGCTGTGCTTTGAATTCTGCGATGGGAAGAGAAATGTTAGCCGGACATGATACTTGATATGCCTTCCCTTCTTTACCTTCTGGAGAGTCCCAGACGTTGGCGGCATCCGGATTGAGTGGTGAAGCATTGTTCGGCTCTAGAGACGCGAATTCATCATGATGTAACTGTCTTGGACAGACAGCCGTTGTGATACGTACCTCCAAGTAGAGATTGCAGCGACAGAAGGATTGTCTGCACGCTGTAAACGGCTGACCATTTGTCCTGCAAGTAGGGGTTCAATCGTGATTTTATCACCGGATCGGACATGGCTCACCTGCAGGATATCAAGACAGATAGCACCGCCCGTAATGTCAACATTTGGATGAAAGCATGGGGTGTCAAACTTTATCGTAGGCGCAGCGTAGGGATAGTTCGAGGGAAAAGAAATGGAGATTTTGAATGTGAGGCCAGCGTAAATCTGGGACAGCCATTAGCCGATCGTCTCGGCAAATCGACGAGGCAGTGTGCTACTCACGGTGCTTGCTGGCCCTTCGATCGTACCCGCCCATTCGAACAGGTTGGCATCAGACTTCGGAAACGCAGACTGTGGACGCCACGATTAGATCATACACGCGTCCGCGAGCACGTTACTTCTGGGAACTCACGATACCAGGCGAAGAAGACATCTGGATGCGTGTCACGGTCAGCCACATAACCACCACTCAATCACTTAAAGCTTACCATAAGAGTCATGAGCTCACTACTCAGGCTAAATAACACACAGGCTTAGAGGCCCTCATTTTCGCTCGTTTATCAGTGTTGCTCTCACCGTTTCGTGACGCTCCCGGCACTCTCCCCCGATGGGCCCGCGATCGTGGACTTTTGAGTGGAACGTGACGGGGCAAGAGACATGGTAACTTGTTCCATTTTTACGCGTGCAAAGAGTAGAGAGAATGCAATAAACGCGAGAGTGGAGGAAGAGATGAGAGGATGTGCCTCGAGGTAAGAGTGAAATTCCGATTTGAACCGTGGCGCGTCGTATGTCCACGCATCACGTGCGCCAACGGCGATTGGCGGGTGGGTGGGCATTGCTTACGTACGCAGGCGCCCCGGGAAAGTCGCACGGCTGCGTATGCGGAGATGACGCTCGGCGCGCGCCGACTCTATCCTACCCCGTCCTCCTCCCTCCAAGCTGGCGTCCTAGCCATGTCCAAGTTCACCCCCTCGCCCGCCGAGGTTCACCTCGTCAACCAGATATTCGCCCAGGCAGACACGCAGAAGCTCGGCGTCATCACCGGCGATGCCGCCGTCAAGATCTTCAGCGGCTCCAAGCTCTCGCCCACTGTGCTAGCCGACATATGGAACCTCGCCGACGAGGACAACAACGGCGTGCTCACGCGCAAGGGCGTTGCCGTTGCCGTGCGTCTGCTCGGGCACGCGCAACGCGGCGAGCAGATCACCGAGGCATTGGTCAACAAACGTGAGTGCCCGTTCCGCGTCAGACATGTCGGGTGTGCTTAGTCGCGTCGCGTAGCCTGCCCACCGCCAGCCATTGAAGGCCTCACCCCACCACTCATTCCGCAGAGTACTGGAATCCCCTCCGCCAAGTCACCACCACCAGGATTTCCCCCGCTTACTGCACAAGACAAGGGCAAGTTCATGAAGATGTTCGTAGGTTACGGCCCAACGAATGGAGTCCTTGCTGGTACGTGTTATCTTCACAATAAAAGAGATACTCGTTTGGCATTTCGCGACTGTCGCACGTCCGACCATAGTAGCGTGATCTCGCAGCCAGACGGCAATTGACTCTTTGAAGTGAAGTCGGGCACTCTGGAGGCGGCAGGTTTTACTTGAACGTTTCACTGGGCGTGGTTTGTGCGACGTCGGAGGTTATTGTGACACCTCCCGCGATGCTTGTTTCCATGACATTCCATCGTCAGTATTGGTACGAGGCTGCATCAAGGCGCATGCCCGGAGTTCAATTCGAGGCTATGATGTTTGGAGGTGACCAGCATGGCTCACTACTCCAATATCGGATCTCAACAGACTTCCTGGGTATGCAACCCAATCCCCACGCATGTGCCAGCGGGGGACGGTAGGGAGGTACCCTAGCGCGACTGAAAGGTAACATGATATTAATGTGAGGTAATATCCTCCGTTGGAGAATACTGGGAATGAAAGCGCATCGATCCGCTCGTCGCCCTGTTATTGGTCCATTCCAGTATTTTCACTCCACCGGCCGTGAATGCGTTTCGAGGTCTGCATAGTGTGGATATGTTCCCGCTAACAGTGCTTGCTGTCAATATATGCCTTTTCTATGCAGCCAATCAGGCTATCATGACTGCTACTCTTCATTTTCCATGTCTCGTTGATTCAGTGTGTTATCTCTCGATTTTATACATCATTGAACCCCTGTAATCGTTGCGGACAAGAACTGATTTGGAGACATTTAGGTGATAAGGCGCGGGACGTGTTCGTGAAGTCCAAGCTACCTGTAGACAAGCTGTCGCAAATATGGTAATCATGATCATACTCCTAGCTCAGTGTATGCGCTCGCGTGTTCACCAAGTGCCTTGTAGGAACCTCGCTGATACGAAGAACCGCGGCGCGTTAGACGCGACGGACTTCACGATCGCAATGTACCTGATCCAGGCATGCATGTCAGGCCAGGTGCATACACTTCCTGCAACATTGCCACCGGGGCTTTACGAACAAGCAGGTGGTAAAGGACCATTTGACGGTGTTGCTGTTCACACCACTGGTGGAAGCAGTACATATAGCCCATCACTCAACAGTTCGTTCCCCCGCCCAGTAAGCATGCTCGAACCGCAGTACACAGGACAGGGTTCCCCGCTGCAGCCGCAGATGACCGGTCCGATGCGTTCGACTCCAACCGCGCCCAGCCTGCCTCCTCGCTCGGCCTTGAGTAACGCAGCGACAGCATCCGCGTTCCCGTTCCTGCAGCAACAAACTACTGGTGCGACGCAGCAGCCGTGGGATGTCACGCCGGCAGAGAAGGCTAGTGCAGACCGCCTGTTCGAGGGCCTAGATACCCAGAAGAGAGGCTACATCGAAGGCGACATTGCTGTGCCATTTATGTTGCTGTCTAAACTGCCGGAGGATGTCCTTGCGCACGTTTGGTATGCTTATCACGTGTAGCACCGAAGACCACATCACTGATACCCCTCAAGGGACCTCGCAGATCTCAACAATGACGGCCGTTTGACTCGAGATGGATTCGCCGTGGCCATGCACCTCATCCAGAGCAGGCTAAACGGGAAGGAAGTACCTGCCAGCATTCCTCTGACGCTCATTCCCCCTTCAATGCGCGGTGCAGCGCCCGGTCAAGCCCCACCCCCGCAGCCGTCCGTTCAAGACTCAATTCGCGACCTCATTTGGGATGATTCGCCGCCAGCTTCCGCGACTATGCCTCCCCCTCAGCAGCCGGCGCTTCAACCACAAGCCACGGGCACACTGTCGTCGAGGACGCCCATTGCATCTCCTCCTATGCGCTCCCAGACGATATCTGATCCGTTTGCCTCGAGCACGCCCGTAGCTACGCGGTCTCCGTTCGCCATGCCTCCTCGTGAGTATCAAACGTGCGCTATACCCTAGCGGTATACACTGACCGGGATTCATATATAGCTGCCGTACACCATGACCTTTTAGGGGACGATGACGAGCCGGCGCAAACTGCATCGCCACCTCTCCACGACCAGTCGGCCGAAATTGGTAACGTGAAAAACCAGTTAAACTCGACCAATAGGTCTTTGGAAGTAGCCAAGGCCGAGCGCGATGATATGGAGCGCAAGCTCTCTGAGCAGGCTAGTCAGCTAGCTGCGCTGCAGACCCAATTGTCATCCGCTAAAGCGGCTTATGAAACTGAGACGCGCCTCCTGAGTGCACTGCGGGAGCGATATAACGCGCAGACAATGGAGATGCAGCAGGCACGCGAGAATCTCATTCGTGGCGAGAGCGATTTGAGTGCCGTTCGCGTCGAGAAGGCTGAGATCGAAGGCTCGTTCCTGCGTGACAAGGAGGACGTGCGCGAGTTGCAGCGCAAGATGACCGAAGTATACATGGAAGTTGAGACACTCAAGGCCGGGGTGGAGAAGGCGAAGAAGGAGGCGAAGCAGCAGAAGGGCTTACTGGCGATCGCGCGGAAACAGCTCGCTACCCGTGAGGCGGAGCGGGCGAAGATCCAGAAGGAGCTGGAGGAAGCGCATATCGAGCTCACGGATGTCACGAAGGAGCTCGAGGAAGTGCAGGCGAAGGCGGCGGAGGAAGTTCCCGCGCCGATGACCAACGGCCGCGGTGTTGCCTCGCCCGATATCCTTGCGAGAGCTCTCGCCCAGCCACTTCCTGCTACCCCGGACATCCCCACGAGTCCCACCGGGTCCGTGATGAGTCTGGGGAAGAGCAACAACCCCTTCGAGCGCGTGGCGATGGCATCTAGCCCTGGTTCGCGCTCGCAGTCGCCCTTCCTGCCGTTCACGAACTCAGCGATGCTGCCGACACCGCCCACTGCTGGGGGTAATGCGTCCAAAGAAGCCGAGGAGTCTACTCCCGTTGTCGCAGCGTCACCCAATCCGTTCCGCTTCTCGCAGGCATTCTCCCCAGAACAAGTATTTAGTTCGTTGGAGGCTCCTGCAGAGGCGCAACTCGGCGTGTCGCCGATTGATCTCATGTCTCCTACTGATACGGACATGTTCCACACACCTCCGAGTTCAGCTACGCTCACGGCCCTTAGTCCCATGCCTCAGCCGCTCCACGAAGGTGCGGATCTCGAGGCGCCTGCATCAACGGATACCATCGTGCCGACCGGCCCTCAAGCGTCGGAGCACGATGAGCTGGTGGAAGCGCCAACGAATGTCAATGACCAACAGCAGGACACGGATCTGGGCCATCAACTGAAGGAGCTCGAAGTCGAAGAGTCGGATTCCGATAGCGACAGCGAGAGCTCGGACGATGAGCCTCTTGCGACTATCAAAGCGCCTACGGGTCCCGAGCCGACCATTGCTGAGCAGCCGGACGCAGCTGGCACGTCGTCTATTCCAGAAATCAGTGCATTTGATGATTCCTTCGGTATCACAACAGAGGATACCCGGCCTTTGTCTTCCTTCCTCCCAGCGGCGGCAACGCCTGTCAGAAGTGATTCCCTTGCAACTAGTGTGCAGCCCGTGGACGCTCAGCCCGCGCCAGATGATGCCTTTGCAGCCGCATTTGGGACCCCTTCGGCACCTACAACGGCTCCTGTAGCACCCGCGTCGTCTGCATCGGTAGACACAGCCCAGAAGACTAATGGTTTCGTGGCTGAAACACCGGGAGTTGACGATTTCGACGAAGCCATGGGCAAAATCTCCGCCGTATCAAGCACGAATGGTGGTCAATCGCAGCCCACACAATTCGACTTCGGTTCCGCTTTTGATGACAATTTTGACTTCGCTGCTGCGACTGCGGTCACGACCTCTGTCCCTGCAACCAACGATACCAATGCAAATATGGTGCCTGCGCAGGCCACTCCCAATGCATTCGACAGTGTCTTTGTGTCCCAGCCGGCCGTCAACGCTGCTCAGCCCCCCGCTCCCGCTGTTCGACTGCAGACCACAGGCACGTCCCCCTTTGAACAACCAAGTGGTCCCGAGACAAGGCCCTTCTCCTTTGATGATGCCTTTGGTGCAACAAGCATCCAACCCCACCCGAGCTCAAGTCAGCCAGGTTCAAGCAATCCTTCCCACGGCATTTCCTTTGATGACGCTTTTGGCGGCCGAAACTCTGTTCTCGCTTTGGATACCTCTTATACGTCTACCTCTTCACAGTCCCAACAGGCGCCGCCACCCGCGCAGCCCAGGACATCCGCTGCGTTCCCTACCACTTCGCCTCCATTGTCTCCTGTCAGAGCTGCCTCTCCGCCGCTCGATGCGCGCCGCTCCTCGTCCCCGGCGCGTAGAATGTCACCACCACCGCGACACTCTTCTCCCAAACCCCGGCCTTCCACCGCCTCATCGGACAAGGAGAAAGCGCCAAGTCACCGGACGTCTAAACTGAGCGTAAGGCTTTGCTCATTAGGCGCTGTTGTATCCGCTCACGCCTCTTTCTAGATCCGCCTGCCATTTGGTAGAAAGAAGAAGGCGCATGACATCCCGCCCGTGCCACCGCCGCTCACCAGCCAACACCTTGTGGAAGAGCCTACGCCCTCCGCTGATGACGACCTTCCGGCTGTCAAGCAGCTGTGTGGAATGGGATTCAGCCGGACACAGGCTGTGACCGCGCTGGAGTTGCACGACTATGACCTTCAGAGGGCTCTCAATAGCTTACTCGGTAAGGACACCGTTGCTTGAAGGACTGCATGTCCTGACGTTGTGCCGGCTTAGGTTCTTCATAATTTTTGATTGATACTAGTACCGACTACAAGGATAACCATCTCGTATTCTCTCCTCGTACTATCACACGCTCCTTCGGACTCTAGTCTTATTGACCTTCCTTACCTGATGTTTCCCGCTCTCTTAATGACGTGCTTCACAACGAATTGAACGCGTTTCTCATCTGTACCGCGAACGGCGTGCCGCTTTACAATGCCGCGTAGCTATGGGGAGCGCCCGACAATCCCGGACCGTGTGGTTTCGATCCGTGTCGATCCCGCTATTTATTAAGTTTGTCTGACAAGAAAGGGTCCTCTCTGGGAAACTTGTGATCTGATGGTGAACAACGTTGAAATGGAACACCCTCGCACGGCGCGGGAGGCTGACTCGGGACACGACACTTGCCAAACGCAGCAACATTCATGTCTTGACTCGTGATGCACACAAGGCCAGGTTCCACCGCCGTATTGTCCCCCGCATACGTGTGTGATTGTTTGCGACCGAGGTGCTTTGTGTCTATAGCCGCTTTGCAGAGGCACTATCAGGAGTGGCGAGTCGCACCGGTGTGTGTATATTAGCCAACAGCTACGTTCGCGCAACCAACTCCGGGTGCCCACATTCAACGTCTCTCTGGATCAAATACATGCCTGCATTTAACATAATCGCCCTAGGTTGTGGTGAGTGAACTGGTATCGTACTGTTAGCTGTAGATGACGTCTAACAGTGCGTGTCAGGTGGCGGCCCTGACGAACATAACTTATCTTGGTGTGTTATGCCAATCTCAAGCATCATGACCATATCGGTGTGGTGTGGGGGTTCCGCAGTTGTGTTTTGACAGCGTAATCATTCAGTTATTTATTCAAGCCACACGAGCAGTCATGGGATGATGGAATATTCGCTCTGGATGCAGGTATGTTCACCGTCATTATGTCGTGTGCACAGCCACATTTTAACTCTACCACCCAGGGTCGAGCATCGGTGCGCTCAATAAACTGCTTGCAGAGCAGCCTGAGCTCTTCGATATGAAACAGATCACTGGTTCTGTCCATGTGTCACACTCCGCCTCGGAGGTGTATTCGTGGATCCGGTCAGTCTTAAGCTACTGTGATACTACATAGCTGGGGACTCATCCAACGCTTTGTAGAAACTTCATCATCACCCACGCGCACTTGGACCACGTTAACGGCATGGTACTATCTGCGGGCTCCATGGGCGGGCCTAGCAGGTCAGTCATAGGGGCTCATCGTTGTTTGCAGGACATTGAGAGCATCTTCTCTGGTCGAATTTGGCCGAAACTTGCCTCTTGGTCTGAGGCTGATTCGCTTCCTCTGACGTTGACTCCGTGAGTGAAGGTAGTCAAGCTCCTTATGCCCTCTCGACTAACACGGTGCACATGTTAGCCTGCCTGACAATGATCAATATACGTCGATAGCTTCTAGCGTCTCCATCCGCATGATGCCTATCAGCCACGGGCAGCACGAGGGACTAGGAACCTACTGGTCCTCTGCGTTCTTCATTCGGCATGACCCCTCGGCGCGCGAGTTCCTCTTCTTCGGCGATGTCGAGCCAGACAGCATAGCCGCCGAACCGCGAAACCGGAACGTCTGGCGCAGCGCAGCAGAGAAGATTCCAGAGCAGCTGAACACCATCTTCATAGAGTGCTCGTGGCCATCGGGCCGTGCAGACGACAGGCTCTACGGGCATCTCAGTCCCGAACACCTGTGCGCTGAGCTTACAGTGCTTGCATGCGAGGTGTCTGGGTACAGAAAGCGAGCTCTGGTGTCCCTCGAGCATGACTACGAGCGGGAGGAGTCCCATCGTGCCCGCAAGAGACAACGGAAAAGACTTGTGTCGGGGCCGCCGTCCTTGCACGGAGCACTGAACGGAGTTCGTGTGTATGTGACACACTGCAAGGAGGACAATCAAGGCGACCACCAACAACCCATTCACAAGGTGATTGCCGATCAGGTGCAGAGATTGGTGGATGCGCAGCAACTTGATGTGGAGATTATTGCAGTGGAACAAGGCATGCATATCCGTACGTCTCTCTATCTCCGGAGCGTGACCTTGCCTGATAATCAACACCGCAGTCATCTGAACTCAGAGCTCAGATATCACAGTGGTCATGACCATATTTATTGTCTCCCACTTCTTCGTCTACTTGTATCACTTAGTCACTGTAGCAATATTGCCCTTGCCTTTCACGCAAGGTGCTCGAGACGTGTACATTATCATCGGTCGTAGCGATCGTACTGGTATATAGACTCGACATCGAGACATCTCCAGCGATGTCCCGACACAGCCGAGCGGACAAGCGTTTGCAAACTCCACCGAAAACATGCAAATAGAGCGACAGCTAGAACTACGACGACGCATATAACTTGACAACACCATCCGCCCCCGCGCTGGCCATGATAGGCAGTGTCGGATGGAACTCAACGCCGAGTGCACCCTCGCGGGCTTTTTCTCGATGGTTGGTGATCTCCTGCACGCATGCACGCGCCCCCAGGATGTCCCAAAAGCGCACGGAACAGTCATGGCTGCCCGACACGAGCGAGAAGCCTGCAGCGTCGATACATACAGACGTCACTGCTTCAAGATGGGCCAGCATCGAGTGCGTACATTGGCCTGTCAACACAATTAGAAAGGGGAGCGAAGCCAATATGCTCGGACACGACTGACCTGTGTTGATGTCGAAGATCCGTATATGCTTATCCTCGTGGCCGACTACCAAGAGCGGCATCGTGGGGTGGGACACAATGCTGTTGGCTTGCGACGACGTGCCATCTACAGCATGTCTAAATGAATGAACATCCCCTTTCATCTCCATTGCACACACCTTCTACAGGCTCACTCTGCATGAGCATAAGCTCCTTCCCGTTCTCAATGTCGAAGATTTTGATCACCGCATTTTGGAACGCTACCGCGACCTTCTTGAGGTCGGTCTTGATCGCTTCGACCGCGCACGCGCCCGGCGCCTCGCCCTCGCTGTGGTTCTCGCTGGCTGACCCCAGGCCATCATACGACCACGATAGCTTGAGCGAGCCGCCGCCTGACGGGCCGCTGACGTCCCAAACCTTCACTGTACCTTCTGCGCCACAGCTGATGAGCGTGCTCTCATCGCGGACGAGCGCGAGGTCCCACACCGCGTCCGTGTGCCCGATAAGCTCCCCTCGCGCACGCGTCGCGTCGTACGACGCGTACGTCGTGTGCGACGAGGGTGGGAGCGCCCATATCCGGATGGACGAATCCAGTGATGCAGAGTACAGTAGCTGCTTCGAGGGAGCATGCACCAGCCTGGTGATCGCAGCTGAGTGCCCGCGCAATGTGAGTTGCGGTTCTACCTCCGTCGTGGGCCTCGACCTGAGTGCAGTAAGGCGATGGGATCAGTGGAAGTGCCCATGCCTGCGTCCTAACTTAAGACGATACGCACGTAGCAGAGGCGAGACCAGCAACGTCAACGCGCCAGATCTTGACTGTCATGTCGTCACCGCCGGTCGCAAGACATAGCTCTGTGGGATGGAACGCGATCGCGCGCACAGCGTCCAGGTGACTGAAGCAGACATTACGTTAGTGCACTGTCCTAGAGAGCTGTCCGGGAAAGAACCATGGGGATGAGGTCACAAAGCGGGATCATCAAACTGACTTCCGGAGCGTGCGCCGTGCCTTCCAGACCTTCCCGCTGTCGCTGTCGCCAATCACCCCTGCGTCCTCGTCTTCGATCTCGCCCTCTTCGTCCTTCACATCATCTTCCTCGTCCCGTGTTCGTCGCTCCCACGAGGCTGCACCGCTGGCAGCTTGCCCTGCATCCAACCGCGCCTGCTCCGCCGCCTCGTGGGACATCCGCAGCTTCTCCCGCCAGTCGTCCCCTGGGCGGAAGATCGCCGTGGTCATCGGTTGCTCCCCGTCACCCTCCTTCTCCCTGTTCTCTGCTGTTGGTGGCGGCTGCTGTTGACTCTGTGCCTGTTGCAGTGGCGGCGCCTGATTCTGCTGCTGTGGCGCCATCATTCCAGGACGGTCCAGCAGATTGCCCTGCGGGATCGCCGTTGACGGCGCAGATGCTGGGCCATTCGTCATGCCCATTCCATTCATCAGCGAGAAGTCCTTCCCAACTTCTGGCATCAGCTTACGCGGGCGCCCGTTGTATGCGTCAAACGGCACGTTCGGCAGCTGTAGAGGAAGCGTCGTGCTGTTCAGCAGTGGGCGGTTTGGGAGCGGGTTTACCGCCTGTGGTGACGTCAGATACGACACCTCTTGTAGACATCTGGCCATGTAATAGTCAGTAAATGCATGCATATACGCACGCGCACGCACTGCTTGAGGTAGTCCCGACTCCGCGCTCTGCTCTTGGGATCTCGGCCTGGTGGTGGTTTGCCCATAGGCCCAGACCCCGCTGTGCCTGTGCCGACAGCAGACCACGAGCTTGCTATCCACGTCTGCGTCCTGCTTACAGGCTGTCCCGTTTGACCGCCATTGACCGACCCGGTAGACATTCGGTCACCAGGCAGTGGCGAATCTGTTCCATGTTCAGTTCGCAATTCAATGAAATAAGCATGTGCACTGCAGCCTCGCAGCAGGGGAATCATGACAGCGCATGACGTTCCTCGTCTGGCGGTATGATATGTTGGCATTCGAAACCCCGTGTTGGGGTATGGCTAGATCCCGCCACCGGGGATAATCTCCTTCCGTCACGTTTCGGCAAAGGACCTCTGAGTTTACATTGCGCCCACGGCACTGACCTTTGAGCAATGTAATACAACCCACTGCCGAGACCGCAGTGCAAGAGTCGACACGCACCTTCACTACGTGGTGAACTTCCACTGCTGTCGTTGTCTCTTTGCGATGCCTGGCCAGACTGTGCCTGTAATGCAGCAAGCTTCGCAATAGGTACTGCCTGCGACGAGGGCTGCCCGAGTTGCTTGGTCCTGTCACCGGACACGTCAACCTGTGCGCTCCTACCACCAACTGCCGACACGCACCGCTCCATCCGCAACGCGTATTCAAGCATTTTAATGCGACGCATCAGATCCAGTTTGACATTATCGAACGAGCGGCGGTCGCCTTCCAGTAGCGCTATTCGCGCCTGTTGCACGCAGTGGACGGTCAGGACACGCGTACGACCAGCACAAAAGTTGCGGCTCACCCGCATCTCCGCCCGCTCGATCTCCCACTCGTTTCTGTCGCGCTCGTACCTCCGCCATTCCGTCTGCAGAAAGTGAAGGACGTTCGAGAGCGTGAAGTCCTGGCCACTCTGGGGTGGGAGGGGAATTTCGGACGGCTGTGGGCCCTGCTGCTGTGGCAGAGGCTGCTGCAGTTGCTGTGACTGTTGGGGGTTCTGAAGAGGCTTGTTGGGCTGGTGCGGGCCCACTGGGGGTCCGAGCATGGGGATCTGGATGGTGTTGTGGAAGGGATGAGGTTGTTGAGACGAGTTGAGACGTGAAGCCGCGTTGATCATGCTGTCACTTGTTTGCCAAACAACCGCTCGCACGCCGACGCGCTTGCACCTTTCCTTGCCGTGCTGTACGGTGTCGACGGGCCCAGGGTCGTTTGTCGGGCTCACAACAACAATGACAATGTCCACTGCCTCGTTTTCGTTGAGGGAGGGTTACGTAAGGCGTCCTGCATACGCTCAAATGTCGAAATGTTCCTATTTCGCGTGTTTTTAGTTTTGCCGCTGATCCACAGTGCGGGGAACGATTCATCATCCGCTGCAGCCTGTCGTTCGAGAGCATGCCATTCACAAAAACAACCCTCTATAACTACCAGAATGGAACAGAAACCCCCACCTTCCTTAAATTCGGATGTTTTAGAGAATTTCAACTTTGGCCATAAACTTCCAAATAGATTGATTAGGGCTCGGTTCCGCGTGGCGGAGGCGCTTAACAGATGCATTTCAGAACCCAATTTGTACAGGAAAGATCAGGGATCAAATTTGTCCACCTTGGGATCAGACTCCCCACATACTCAAGCTCTTCCGTACCAAATCATGAATGGGCATTCAAATGTTTATTGCGCGCCAACAATATGCATTACAACAAAACACCAACGTGCAATCAGTAAAGGCGGGACTGGAAATTGGCCAGCACGGGGGTGGTGTAACCGCGACTCTAGCCGCCTACTTCCTGACCCCAATCTCGCGCAGATACCCCTGCAACGTCTCATCCCAAGTGCGTACTTCGTGATTGAGCCGGTACCTGGACTGCTGTGGAACACCAGACATAGGTGCCTGATAGTACCACTGCGTGTTCCAGTTGTTATCCGTGATCTTGTCGTTCACATAGTTAGCCTGTGACACGATCAAGTCAGTTGAGCGCTGAAGCGATATCAGAGGCTACCGACCTCTCCGATGAGGACCTCAGCACGACCTTTGGCGCCGCTGCCACCGTCGCTCCCGTGCGAAATGTAGAAATCTATCGGAGACCCATCGTTGATAATAGAGAACCTATGCGATATCCATGTTCGATGTGAAGGTGCCGGCTAACCGTGACACGGCACTCACCGTATGGTCTCTCTTCTCTGATCGTGACTATGTTCCCTGCCCCAAGTGATCTTCGTTTCACTGCCCTGAGTCAGGGGCGGATACGGGCTTGCGTTGTTCTCGATAATCACGCCGCTAGGGCTGAGAAGGCCAAATTCAGCCCAGTCAGACTGGATGGTGAAGGTGAGCTCTGTCCTGTATGGCTGTGGGTGCGTAATGATGTAGTTGAAAGCGTCCTGGATATCATTAGCGCGCCCGCGCACGGTGGCGTTAGCCGCGTCTCGCATGAGGTTCCAGAGCTCGGTCGTTGTGAAGCTCATCACATTGGGGTGCTCAAGGGCAGAGTTGGTCCACGCCACATACGCGTCATACTGCGAGGGGTCGTTAAGCAGTGTGACGCCGAGCGACAGATCTCCGCCTTGCACCGACACCGTCTTCTGCATGAAGTTGGAATAGGTGCTGTACTGCGACTCGTTCTTGACTGAGCTGTCGAATTCTCCACCGGCGGTGATGCCATTAAACGACGCTTGGACATTCACGCTGAACTTTTCATTCACGGAGCTGTCCGAGTTCGAAGCCCAGACATTCTATGCGGCATGATTGTGTTAGCTCCGAGTATATGCATTATCGTCCAATACATACCAGCTGGAAACGCGAGCCATACATCGCATTGGTAATGACGTGACTGCCGAACGAGTCAAAGAACGCCTTGTAGTCGCGGATGTCGTTTGTGCTGGGCGCCTTCGGGAACGGCGAAGTAAGCTGCTCGAGGCGATTCAGGAGTGCTCTTTCCGCGAGGTAGTCGACGTAGTTCCGAAGACCGGCGGCGTATGAGCTGATGTTGTAGCTGTACATCGCGTACTGGTTGTCGTTACGGAATGTCTTGTTCAGTGAATACGAAGTCGAGACGCTGCCTGACACAGCCAGATATCGCACGCTCAGAGTATTATCATTTTGGAAGCTGGTCGTTGTCTCGGAGCCGTTGCGATAGGTGACATAGGTGCCTTGAAGGGTCTGCACGTCTTTAGCGACTGAGACGATTCTCGGCACCTTGTATTCGATGCCACCTGTGAACATGCACGTTAGCGAAGATACGCAGCTGCACGTGGACTTTGTACCAATGGTCTCAGTGCGCGGATTCTCATCAGGATCTACGTCGATGATCTGGCGAGCCCGTTTCACGCCTTGAGCAACCTAGTATTTCCTCGACTTGAGTTCACAGGCTCATGCGATTATAGGATATCACATACCGCAGTGATATCAAGAGGTGTCACTGTGGTGAGATCGAGACTGTAGCCAAGGTAGTTAAGAGCAGGGAGTTCAGCCATGGTGTTCCAAACGAGAGGGGCTGGGATCAGGATATGACCGGAGGTCAATGTCTGAGGGTAGAGTTGGTGTTCCGTATATATAGCAGATCGCAATCACGAATGGTAGGATATGGCGACATCCGAAATAAAGATAGATTGTGACAATTTCACTAGAGCGGTGTGCCAATCACAACACCGAACGTTGCCCGACCAGCTGTTTTAGCGAGATGACAGGATAGGGAAGGCAGTATTCAACTCGCAATTCCATCCCACAAGGCGCAAGCGCACCATAGTGATTTGCCGAATCTGCAGGACGACGTCCATGGGAGAAGGCCTGATGGTAAGGAAGGGGTCATGACACCATCGTCTGACCCGGACGCAGGCCTGGTTGTTTCTGTGAGTGGAAAACGTTTCTCCCATACAGTAGCCTTGCAATCAGGAACGATATACCTGAGTTCTTAGTATACTGAACTTCTTGACGGTGCTGCGGCGAAGCCATCATGTTTAGTATGAGCTCGCCCAGCATCGCTCCACCCTCGTTGAATCACATAGAAATGGAATGGAAGCATGGATTATGACATACGGGGTGACAACGTTGTTTACTGCCTCGAAAGCATCACCGCCGGCGGCGGGGACCGGGAGAACACATAGAACGAAGACCTTGCATTATACAAATGTACCCCTGAATGAAGCCCGCACGAAGCGGTTACTTATTGATCGGCAATGTCAGCTTGACGGCGTCCGCAGAGAATACAGCCCACATGGTCATCCGCCTGACTTCTCAGAGTGAGAGTTGCACTTTTGATGAAGCGATCTACTTGCCTGGCGAGGCACGTTCGAAGCGAATTGCAGCTTCCGGCAGCACGCGCTGTTCAGAACTCGCTTGATTTGAAATGGACCGCGTGGATCATTGTATTGATCTATAGAATCGAAAGAGGGAACCGAACAAGGTTCAGCCCCACAGAACACATCGATGGTAGCTCTCTTTAAAAGTGGATTCTGGATCGTTGGGAGAGTGTTTCCAATAGTAGTCCTACGGTATGAGAAGAAAAGTAATTACCAGCATATGACGACTACGGTGGTTTGGAGTTGCCGATACCATTGCATGGACAGTCACTGCCTAGGAGATGTGTACAGCCAACAACCATCTCGGTTGTAGTGTAAGACTCTGCCTTGAAGCCAGAATCGAGTATAAGGTTTAGGGAAGACTTGTATGCACAGCTAGGTCGGTACACGAGAGACCTACAAAGTTGTCGGTCGTTCGGTATCCGCGCGTTTATTCAGGTTAGCCTAAACCCAGCCCTAGGGTTAGGGCTCTATGCATAAGTTCAATGCAGATCTTTTGGTCATGAGATACGAGACTCGACATCATCAACTTGTACACGAACAGTATGTCATTCAGCTTTGTGCATAAGCGGCACATAAAATCTCGCTAACTACGACGTCGTCAGCCTATCCCCCAGTGTTTCTCAGCCATTCGGCCGACTACGTGGAACTGTGGGCAAAGTGGCAAATCACCAGTCAATCGCCGTCAACGCAAATTGAGCAATCTTACTGACGCGCTGATTTCGGAGACAGGAGAGACACGTGCTTGATAGAAAATCTTCGTGCTCCATGCGCTCTCACCTTGGGCAGACTGCGTGAAGGTAAGCTGCCAGATGCTATCGTCAGCCATGTTACATCGTGCATTGCGACCGTCACGTACCCCTTCCAAGATGATATTGGCCTTGCCTTTACCAAGCGAGATGCAGAAGTCCACAGGCGAGCCATCGTTGATGAAGCCGAAGCTGCGGGTGACATCAGCGTACTACACATTGTCAGGTGGAACAGCGAACGAACGTGATAATCTGACGCCCACTTGATATGCCTTTAAGCCTGTTGAGCCACCTGATCTTCGTCGGCGAGTGGATCAATTCAGGCACCTTTGGCGCGGAGTAGACCTTGTCCGAGATGGATGCGCTGGGCGTGAGCAGCCCGACCTCCGCCCAGTCTGAGCGAGCATCGATATCGAACACGACAAGCGTATTCACTTCTTCGTGGCTCGACATGATGTATTCGAATGCGTCCTGTAGGTCGTTCGCGCGCGCTGCCAAGTCGCGATCCGCTGCATCGCGTATGAGCACCCACAGCTCGGACGTCGTGAAGTTGATGATGTCCGGGTTCGCAGAGACCGTGACCGTCCACTCCTTGTAGAGCTCATAATTCATCGGATCCGCGGTAAGCTTCTTGGCTAGCTCCGGGTCGCCTCCTTGCACAGAGACGAGGAACTGATTGAGCACCCGGAAAGCCTGGTACTGCTGCTCGTCAAAGACCGCTTCATCGTAACTGCCGTCGCTGGCGATTCCGCGGAACTGGGCAGCGACATTGCGTGGGAAGTTGTTGTTGACATCGCCGTTGCTCCTGTCTGCCCAAACAGCCTTCAAATGCAAGTGGGGGCGTCATTGATGGTTCACAAGGGGCGAAAGGCACGTACCAGCTGGAAGCGCGCACCGTACATGGTGTTTATGACGACGTGGGTGCCGAATTTATCAAAGAACGTCTTGTACGCGTTGATATCGCTGGCAGAGGGAGCCCGAGGGAACGGAGATGGTAGCGCCTTTACAGCCTCGACGAGCTTGGACTCGTTCAACAAATCGAGATAATTCCTTAGCCCTGCAGTGTAGTTGCCGTTGTTGAAGCTATAGAAAGCAAATTGGTTTTTGTCCGAAAGCGCCTTCCGCACCGCCATTGCAGCGGTCCCAGTAGCAGAGATGGCGAGATAGCGGACGGCTGCATTCCCATCGCTCTGGAAGGCACTGTATGCATCGGAGCCGCTGGGGTATGTGACATACGTCCCTTGGGAGGACTTAACGTCCTGAGCGACGGCGACACATCTGGGGACATTATAGTCGATCCCTCCTACATCGTTGTTAGGATTTGACGCTGCTACACACAATGGTCATACCGATCTCCACAACGCTATATCTCTGTTCGCGCTGGGTCTCGATGATTTGAACGTCCCTTTTTATGGCAGAAATCACCTGAGTTGATGCCGAGGCTCATCAGGTCAGTCCAGGTTGTGTGCTCAGGCGTGCTTACGGAGTTGATGTCTAGCGGGGTGCAGGCAGTCATATCGACGCCATACCCAAGCCATTTGGTGGCTGGGAGCTGTGGAATAACGGTAGACATGCTTGGAGGAGAGACGAGAGGAAAGGACAAGACCGACGTATTCCTATAAAAAGAGTTGAAGTCAGGTGTACAAAATGATGACATACATACAGTTCACTGTGGCGGGTTTCTCGGTCGCCTGCGTTTAGCGGACGGCGTTTTTGGAACACAGAATGGTACTACCGAAAGACGTCGGCCTCAGTGCCCATGCTTGCTCTCTTCGAGGTGCGTGTTGTGAGTCTTGGACCCCAATTCTGTCAACGTAGCTTTCGATGCGCTATTCAGCGGTCATCGGTTGCTCATACAACAGTAGTTCTATAGGACCCTGCCTTGCGTAGATGCGCCTCAATTTGTCATAAGTGCAACCATGACCTGCTAGCGGATATGGCTGTTCATTCACTAGTATCGATATTTCACATGCAGTGAAAGACTCCGTCAACAATCACATTGATTCATCGGAGCAACGCAGACTTTCTCCGATCAGCCTATTGAGTCATGAGTGCGCAAGTACAATGCTTCAGCGTGAGGCTAGAACATTAGGAAACATCTGGATACAAGCGGTGTCTTCAAGTTCTGGCTCCTCACTTCCGAAGTTCCAGAAGTTGTACGTTTGACAGGGTTCCGACCCAGGCATGGATTTGGACGAAGTCGTGCATTGTTCAAGGAACGAAAATACTATGCCCTGCTGTGTTTTGCCAGAGAGGATAAGATGGATGCATGGAAGAAGTACGACTCGGGGCAGTTTCAGCTACTTGAGGTTCGCTTAGTAGAGATCGGCGCTCGATTACCGACGGATCCGACATCGCCCGAAAGTGCACAGTCCTGATTAGGCAAGTAGAGTGTCGTTTCTTCGCTTCCGCTCTGCGTAAACCTTGTCAGGGCCATTTCCTTCCGCTGTGTTGCAACGTCCTCGCAACTCGGAATCACACATGACCCGTCGCATTGTAATATCACACCGATGCATGCCCCGCCAATTCACTTCAATCGTCATACTGAGCGGAGTACTAGTACCGTCTTCCATACTGCAATCGAGGCATCGCTAGATCCTCATTTGAATAGAACATCTTCTGCGACCATCAGTAGATTCTTCATGCGTAATTGTGAAACTTCAGAATAGCGCTTTACTTAGCTTGGTGCACCCCTGGCGGTCGTTTTAGGTGGCAAACGCCGGACCGACTCTGCAAATCGTGTAAGCCTTTCATGGGTATCACAGGGTAAGCATCACCGCAAGACCGCCTATTTATCAACATACAACAACATTTCAATGACGCGATAGGATACTCTTCTTTGCCTCCATGAGGCATTGTGAATTCCTCGCCATGCCACCGTCGAAATAGCTCGTCGTCGAAGCTAGCCCGTGCGCGAGGGTACGTCTCACATAAATCCAAGTCCTTCCAGTCAGACTGCCCCGCAATCCTGCAGTCCGACCACAGCCAACCTCTCATCTGTATTCTCGCCTTACTTCAATCATGCCTGTCGATCTCCCCGCGACCAACTGGCTAGGCTACAGCCTTGACATGACTACTGTCACACCTAGCGACATCACTGCAGTAAGTATTTGGATCTATTGTACTCCCAAGCCTTATCGTTGTCAGGTGGCGGCATCAGTCAAGAGGGCACTACAAGTCATCGATGTTGATACATTTGAAGGCACTCGCGTCGTCGAAATCGGTATGGCAGGCGTTGGATAGCTCACCTTTGTTCACAAGCTGAACGGCATGGCAGATGGCGTTGCATACAAAGTTCCCAAGAACGTCGTGATTGCAACAGACGTACAGACCTATCAAGGTGGTTATGTCACCTATGAGGATGGCAACAAGGCTAGTGCCGCCTTTATCAACGACTCTAGCCTCTATCCGCGCTACCTGGCTGTGACTGGTACTACGACCGCCGGATATTCGATCAGCAAGACATTCCGCAGCGACTGCCAATTCGCCCTATTCAGCTACAATGCCAACCGCTACGCCGCTGCGCTGAAGAACTACATCGTATATCTGAATGAAGATCTGCTCAAAAACCGTGTCAGCCGTCTCCCGGTCTGGCCTTCCAGCCCGGACACCACGGTTCTCAGAGATTACCGGGCGTTCTTCGACACCGTCGGCTCCCACAGCATCATTAATGCCACCTACGGCGCCCGCTTTCAGCTGGTATGTGTCTGATTGAATAGGATTATATCTGACCGGGACTGATGTCGAATCACTGACTTTTACAGACTGTCTTTGCGGACAACTCGAACTCGTCCGTCAATAGCCGCTTCTCGGCAAACGTCCTCTGCGCATACAACGGCATCCCGAATGGCGGCCAGTACGACGCAAGTGTGGCATCCGAGTCGCAATACAAGACATATCAAGGCCTCGCACAGCGGCTTCTCTCGTGTCAGGGCGGCGATGCCGACATGGCGAACACGTTGGTGAACAGTCCCACTGACTACAGCCTCTACGAGAAGTGGACGAAGACAAATATGCAGAACCCGGGCGTGGTGAACTTCTCACTGACTGAGATATGGACGCTGATGCGGAGTGCGGTCGATACGACGCTCCAGAGCCGTGCGGACGACATACAGAACGCATTCAATTACATCGTGTCACATCCCGATCCGTACAAGACTGCGGTGACGCTCGACGTACAGTCTGACTGGGCGGAGTTTGGAATCCTCACTCCGAGCGCCGTCATCATTCCAGACCCGTCCAAACCGTATCCTTCGAACACGACCGCAAGCGACAACAAGGTGACCTTCGGAAAGGAGTATAGTCATGTCATCAAAAGGGAGATCCTGAAGTTTGTCGTCACTAGCATTTTTACTAGTAGATATGCGGCTGATGACCGCATTCTCAGCTTCTTCGTCGTTAACGACGGGTCTCCCCTCGACTTCTACATCTCACATGGCAGTGAGGGGGGTTCGTGGGGGAACGGCAGGGCCTCGATTACGATGGAGAACGTATGTCTCAACGCTGTTCTATCGCTTCACCGAGATCTGACGGTATGCATTGCACAGGAATCGTTCGTGAACGAGGGCATCACAGACAACGTCAACAATACAAAATGGTACTACCAGGCCAAGGTATCCAACACGCCTGCTCCGTCTGGCTTGAGATCGAGCCACAAGGAGCGCACATGGGATGAGGTCCGTCGTCAATACTTGCGCGAGATCGGGGCTGCGTGAGCATTCGCGTTGTGGGGAGCATTCGGGCTGTACATATATCGCCACGTTTGCCTTAACGTTTGCGCAATCGTGTACATATCAGAATCAACGAAGTTGACTCGACATTATTTATGGTCCATACAGTTTCGAGTCTGTATGAGTTTCCGCAATTGATAGCATTTGGGGAAGAGCATGAGCGGTGTGGCAAATGCCGAGGCCAATATATCAGGAAGTTCGCATAACCCAAATTGGCCGCTCACCCTCTCTGAAGTCTGATCGAACCTTTTTTAACCCTTAGATGGAATGAATTGTGATAGCTGGAATCACTCAACAATGCCTTGAGCTTGCATGCTGTCATGATGACACGTGCTATCGCGCACCACCACTACGATTCAGCCGTTCGGAAATGCACTGCAGTAACGAATCCGGGAGGACACCTTTACAGTATCAAGATTCTCCAACAGCCAGCCGCTGGCAGCTCTTGAGTGATCATGCATACACTTGATGCCTCGGAGCTCCTTTGTTACAACACGCAAAGCAGCAGAGATGCCGACTCGCTACAATCTATTGTCGCTCCACCGAGGGGCCAAATAGGATTGAGATCGGAATCGCCCGCCCCCCCTGACATGTTCGCAGTGGCCTAATCATCGCCCTGCGCGTTTCTTGATTGACCTACTATCAACATTTGCGCTTGCGAACAGGCATTGTGGGACGTCGCCGTGCCCGTGAATAATTTACAGGCTTTCAGGAGACTGCGCTGCATCTTCGTTGCATATGACGTATGCGAGTGTCTTGGCTCTGCTTCTACCTAATCTGCTCCCTTTCTCACTGCTCGGGCCCTCACCGGTGAACACTCGAATCACCCTCTGCTGATACCGCGCGGAAAAGTGAGAAAAGTAATAAATTTATAGCTCGTAGACATAGATGGATTGATGAGAAACGTTGACGCCGTATAGAGAATATAAAACTGGATTTAGAAAAAGCAAAGTTGAATAGGCACTGCAAGTGTACACGGAATCCTAGGTCTATCGTTTACACTTGGTCTACTGGCACTGCGACTTCCACAGGGGGCGCCGCAAGGGGCGCCGCAGGAGGTGCCACATTAGCAACACTCACATTCCATGACACTAACACGATGTCTTCCGAGTAAGAAACAACGCGCAACCCATCCGCAGAGAACCGAATACAGGTGACGGTGTCCTGGTGACCCAGAAATCGTGCCACGCGATCCCCGGTATCGGTGTTCCAAATGTTGATTGCATTGTCGTGACCGCCTGCCGCGACATACTTGCCATCGAGCGTGAAGGTCGTTGCGGTTTGGAGATCGAGGCCACCCTCTATCACCCGGACTCGCTCGCCCGTGAACGAGTCGTTGACTCTCGCCATCATGTCGGTGCCGGCGGTCAGCACGTACTGGTTGTCTGGCGAGAACATCGCTTGCCGGACCACGCCTGCGTTTTCGTCGATCGTGACGAGACAGTCGCCAGATACCGCGCTCCACACCTTCGCTTTACCGTCGTCAGAGCCCGTCACGATGCGGCAGCCGTCGGGCGAGAACGACATTGCGTGAATGACGCCCATGTGGCCGTGAAGAACAGAAAGCGCCGCGCCGTCCTCGGTGCTCCACACACACACGGTGCTGTCTGCGCTGGCGGACACGAAGCGGGTCCCATCCGGCGAAAACCCGACTTTCATCACCATTGCGTCGTGGTGCCCTTCGGCGAGCTTGCGTCCATTGGTGAGGGACCACAGGCGCACAGTGAAATCGACAGACCCAGAAACGAGAAGCGTCTTGTCGGGCGAGAATGCCACGTCCTTGATCGAGTGCGTGTGGCCCTCGAGCGTGATTTCGCGTTCTAGGCTCGGTACGTGGTGTACGATGATGCGCTTGTCGCGAGAGCCAGTGGCGACGAGGGTTCCGTCTCGAGAGAATGCGATTGCTGTGATGGTGTCTTCGTGGCCGGGCAGTGGATTCACAACCTCGTTATCCCAGGTGCATGAGACGGGCCCTTCGAAGCCCGCCACAGCGAACTGGCCATTTGGAGAGAATTCTAGGGCAGTGAGCCATGCTGCCTCCTCAGGAGGCACGAGCTCGAAAGACGCGAGTGGTGCTGCTTCTGCCATTAGCTTTGAGGATTCCTCGGTGTGGTGTGGTCAGGTCGGTGAGGAGGGTGGCCCTCTTCCGATGGTGGTAGAGTCCCTCTCTGCACGTGATCGTTGGCCTTGTTATGATCGGATGTGGCTCACCGATCATCACGTCCACCGACTTCCCCGCAGCGGCTTGTAGAGTGGAGGATTCGTGGATGGGGGCGTCGGAAATCGGGTTGGGGTCGAGCTGAGCGACGGGAAGTGAGAATCTGAGCTGGTATTGGGCGACCGTCTTATCGTCGGAGGATAACATTCCGACCATATGATCGGTAAGTGACAGAGATACGAGACAGCGAAAATGACTGACGTCCGTACTCGTTTACTTCGATCTGGGGCTGAGATCCTGAAGGAATGTGGGGATATCGTCGGGGATATCACTATCCTACTCGAAACTTTGAGTGATGTGGTCATCCCTTAGGATCACACACTCACCTTGCACAGGAGACGCAGATCAAAATCGCTCGTTATTGCGCTGGTTGATTCCGGCGCATGCTGAATAATTAGTCAACGACTCTTGTCACGTCAAGCAATAGTGAAGTAACTTGCCCCAAGAATGTAATCGAGAGCTTCGCCCACAGGGTCGTATGGCTGCATATACTATCCAGGAGGTATATAATACACACAATGAAGATCACAGACCTTCGCATTCGATGGGACTTGCTCTGTCTCAAAGTCGTCGTGGTCATCCGGGGGACCAATATCGGGATCTTTCGGCCCAGCGGCCGCTTTCATGATGATGGGGCAGATCTTGAGGCGTTTCTTCATCTTGTAGTAATGTACGAAGATGCATTGATCGTACTTCAGCGTTTCATTACCTCGCGAGCTTTTACCCTTCTTGTGCTGACTTCCTGTGCCCCTCTCTGTGGATGGGCCTGATCGCGAGATATACCCTGGGTCATGTATCTGCGTCAAAGTGCCGTGCACACGATGTGAGGCGCGCAGGCGCATAGAGGGGAGGGTTTGAGACATCCTTTGACAGTGAAGATCGAGCAGCGTAAGGAGAGGGTATAAGCGCACCGACAGCGCAAAAAGAAATGCAGGAAATATTAGATAAAAGGGGACAGGGTCCTCTGGGATGATGCATGGACGGACACAATGGCTGGGAGGAATAGGCAAGCATCATTCGTTAGATGATCCTGGATGAGCCAATATCGTTATCTGCCAGAGTAAGAAGTTTGTATATATGTATGTACCGCTTAGCTGCAGGACAGTGGCTGCGCGCGCATTAGCTCGCACAGGATTCCAACATGGTTATGGTAGAGTCTTCAAGCCTTGACATCGCATCGAGCAGTATCGCGTCCTTTCGGGGTTGTGACTGCGAGAGATTCTTGTCGAGCCCTGTATCGACATGAGCATGGTGTTGTTTAGCACACGTGCAAGAAATCCACAAATCGGCAGCATACGCTAGCTATAAGCCAATTTGTACCATGCCGGCTGCTCCGTCAAGATGGCCCTGTACCACCAGTTATTCATAGCGACGATGTTCCACTTGTCCGGCATCCGCAGAACGGGTGCACGACAATGGGTGTGTAGATCCCCGCCATACCGCGAGCACCTTTCAGCACCCACAGTGCTTCACAGATGCCGTTTGGCTGCCAGATGTCCGACGAACGCACCGATCTTGCTCTGAGGTGCCATTCGACAGCACGCCCCTCACTAACGGTCATACTTGGTTCCATGCCACTGTCTACAGGTCTAGTGCACATGGAATCGGCAGCGAGGGGTCTATCAGCGCGTTGCGGACAGAGCAGAACCGCATGCGTCCGCGAGCGCACGCAACGGGTAGAGGATCCCA